ATCATTTTTGGGAATAAATGTTATGTTTTTCTTCCTGTGCTATATTAAAAAATATGTCTAGACTGCCCTGACCGATAAAAAAGGCGGAGTTACAGGAAGGTTATCTAGAAACTTGTGTTTTTAACAACTTGAGTCACCCCGCCGACAGCCATTTTTCTGCCGTGCCGCGCTTTACAAGTAATTAAGTGTGTGTTGGCGTATTTACTTCAATCAGTTATAGCAGAAAACTGTGCGCAACTAAAGTGATACCGATATTTCAATCACTTGAACGATGATAAAAAAGCCGAGCCTCTTTGCAAAAACTTTCCAGCTTTGGTTAACACTTGTAAAGGCTTTCCTGTTACTTTTTGGGGTAAGTACACCGACTTTTAGGCTTACATAGAAAGAGGTCTTTTCTGTCGCGATCCTGAATAGCCACGGGGTGACGAGCGCTTCCTTGAGATATGTTGGACCCCAATTTTTTTTTTTTCAAATCTCGAGATCTTTTCAGTCTTTGCAGTGAGTATATAAGTGTCGCCATTAGAGGACTTTTTCTTCAGTATCGAGGTCTGAAAATTTTCCTAGAATTCTTAAAGTCTGAAGTTTTTTTTTTCTTTTTTGCCGAAGGGTCTCGCTCAAAAAGCAGCTGGAGTATGTAGCTCTGGGTTTTCGCTCTGAGCGACGAAAATCGTCTTTGACACGATCGCTGTTGTTGGGAAAAATGTTGCTGATTGCAGTGTAGAAGCTGGAATATTTAACTAAAGAACGCTAAAAAAAAAGAGAGAATTGTAACTCTAATTAATGCATTTGATGGAGTTTTACCATTCACCTTTATAACATTAGAATCCTACTTGTTTATTATGACAATCGAACCTCGATTATCCTGACATCGACTATACGGACTTTTTCTCTGGTCACTCTTTTTTTTAATGAATATCAATGAACTTTGATTTTCAAAACTTGAACAGGTAAAAAATGCAGAGATCATGTTCAACAACATCGAGACTAGCGAAGGAATGAGGTGAAAGTCGCTGAAACCTGCATGTACATGAGTATAGGTGCAATTAATACAAGTACGTGTATTTGTAGTCAGTGAAGCAGACTTTTAGAATTAAGAATGTGTTATCTTTATTTTTCATCTTTGTTTTCCGGACTATTTACCCAAGTCCCAACGAGTCCGGATAATTGAGGTTCGACTGTACTACCTGTTTAATAATATTTCAGATATCCAGAATTAATTTTACAGGTGTATTAACATAAGTATTTTGCTGAAATATTCGCAGCCTCTAAGTAAATCTGTTTCGAATTCTTAACATAGAGTACAATAATAATTACCTTGGTGATGAGCTAGATTTTTTAACAGTAACGATTTCCAAAGTGAACAAACTTCTTCATTTCTTTACTTACGACGCTGCAATTCTATTTTTATACTAGATTTATTAAATTCCCTCCTTTCGGCCTCTTTCCGAATCAAGTCTCTCGGAGCACTGACCGATATGATTGTATCTAACCTTTTAAGATAGTTGGATGAGGTATATTTTTCCACTCTCTAAATGTCTGCAGGAGACAACCTTCATGAACAATGGGACATTAGCCTCACTTCAGCTTGAAGCGATAAAAGTAACGAGTGGACCTATTTCTGCAGGGTAAGAACTTGTCTTTGAAAAATATAACAGCGTTAATGCAAAAGTCATCATCATCTTCTAACCATGTCAAAACTGAAGTTTACAACTGAAAAATCCAAACTTTACCTCAACTTTTTTTACTCTGCCTAAAATGAAGCCCACACAAACAGTATTTTGATCGCTTCCTACAATTCAAACTGGAATTGTCTCTTAATAGAAAGCAAAAAAAATTAATGCTGTCATGAATCTTTAATCAAGACCAAAGTTTTCCAAGTTATGTCTATATTTGCTATTCGAATTGAACTTGTTCACCCAATGTTGATATTTTCAGTCTGATTTCTCAAAATAAAATTCCTCATTAAATTTTACCAGAAAGATCGAAATACGTCGGGTTACTTCAGCGTAATAGACTGTTTTTCAGGTTTGAATTTTGTTGAAAAGCAAACCAATATGTGAAAAGTTGTACAACTGCCGTTTCGGTTATGCTCAATTAGTCGAGTAGTTTAAAGACCCTGTAATTTCAATCCAAAAAATCTGAAATAAAATTAAATATAAAATTACGATATTCATGATAAANCACGACCGCGTTTCAAGGATCAAGAGTCTGGCGACTAATGTGACGTCACTTCGAGAACCCAACAATCTGTATTTCGCGCCATTTTGCACAGTTCACTGGTTATGTTTGGAAGGTTAGATTGATATTGGTCGCAAATATGCCGCAGAATGAATCTAGTGCTAGAAAGGCTTTCGCAGGTCGACGACTGGCTGAGAATTCCTTGAGCGTCTTCTCGAAGTGACGTCACAAGTCTACTCTGCCCAGATCCCCATTTACGCGGTCGTCGTCCATTCGGATCTCGACTACAACAGGGCATAAAATAATGAGGATTTAACCAAATCCAATAATTTCTTCGAAGAAATACTCACCAAAGGAGGAAGATTTTCTTTGAAGTGAAAAAAAATTTAGGGGTCAGGTGCACTTTAAGAACAAACCCTGCCTGCACTTCGGCATATATGCTGCGTCAGCAGAAAAAACGTAGAATGAGAGAGTGAACTCTTACTACAATTAATTTACACTGCAAAGATATGCAAAAATCTCCAGGTGAAGAAACTTCTGGTGAGAGATGTTTTTCTTTCCTTTAATTCCTCTTGAGGCAGCTTTTCTGATCAAAGCAAAGCCACAACAAAACGAATTGTAACAGCGAAATGCTTAGGCTTAATTCATCTTAGTTAAATCATTCTTATGTTTGCTTTATCATTCTCCCACAACTAGAAAAACTGCATTTATTCAGGCCAATGTCACACAACAGACCCCAGCCATAGACAACGCAACTGAAGTGATTTTACACTTTACGTTACCAAGTTATCTCATTTACGAACAGTTCACCTCAAACGGATCACGTACCCCAAGTGACGTCACCGTTTCTCGTGACGATAAATTTCTCTCCCTTACAATGAAGGTAATTTCATTCATAACACGTCAATGATGTCTTCCACGGGGTAGACATGGAGGATTCTAAACGAAAAACATCCTCCCCCGGGGTTATTGCTACCTGTGTCTGCACAAGTAATTAAGTCTTCGGAGAATCCGCTCTCGTAATAGTAAGATAGCAAAGAGTTTTGTTTATTTCCGCCTATAAACGTCGTTCAGATTGAAATTCGATGACAACTTGAGAACGACACAGGGGGAGAATATTTAGTGGCTTGACCAGTCCAAGGTACAATTATTCTTTCAAAGTGGACTTCATTTGTTTAGTTTCAATTCCATCACAAGATCGCAATGCTATGTTATGAAATTGCTATGAATTTGTCTCTATAGTCCATCAGGGTAGTCATCTTCGCATCTGTCCTTTTAACTTGTGTTGCCCATGAAATACTTGAGCATTGGGTAACATCTCAAAGGTTGGCGAAGAAGGATTGTAAGTTTGGATCGATTGTAAATTGAGCTCAGTTTAGTCCGAAAACCCCTGTACGTAAGATTGTCTATAAGGAATTCGTATGGCAATCTCACTTTATCAATGTCATTTAACTCTTGTTTTGAAAAGTTCGACGAGCTCTTGACAACGGAGTACGTGGCTGTACAAGCAGCATTTCACTTGGATCCGAACAACAATTTCCATGACGACTTATTTCATTAGGCACCATGTAAAGTGAGCCTGCGATACCAACGTCACGACCCGTGCGGCTGTGAATCCAGAAACAACCATGACGTAATGGCGGAGATCCCTTTCTACAGTCCAGGTGAGCAGTGCAAAAAGAATCGCGAAGCTCTCTATTGAGTATCGAAAGTAATCCAAGACTGCATTGGTTTTGGTACATTGCGCTCTGGGATTAGTCCCAGAAATTTCTCCATGCTTTCAGCCAATTGTTGCTTGGTGATCCACGTATTTAAGCGCTTCAGGTAGTTTGTTGATTTGAAGTTTGAGTTCTGATTGATTCTCTGTGATATCTTCCTTCGTTCTGATTGGTCACTGAGATTGCTCTGGGTTTGGTTTTATGAAACTCGATGGGCGAGACCGTCTTGAAAGTTTTAATTTTTCGTCATTTGCAGATTGTGAGGGCTTTGGGCCTGTCGGTCTATCAATCGGAGAAATAAAGGATAGCCAAATAGCATCGTCTTCTAGTAGAGCGTGAACGTTTCTGTCGTACTCCGGAAGAATTGGAGATAACTTTGCAGGATGGATCCCTGAGAAGAGATCAAGCAGAGAATTCCATACTTTGCATTTCTTTGAAGTTGATTTGAAATTGGTCACCCACATTAAAATGGTAATAATTAAGAAACTAACGAAGACCAGAGAAATGTTAGCTCTAGTAGCGTCCCCCTGCATGTACCAGGTTGAGTTAGCATTGTCGAGTGGAGAGCGCATTGGAGGTCCCGAGCTAAAGTTCTCAGACCACCCGCTGAATTCCTAGTTCCACTCCACGACCATCCTCGTGAATAGCCCACTGGTATACCTCCCGTCAGCTGAGGTTTTGAATCACGTTACGCTTGGTTGTGTTATATTTATATTTGCTGTATTAGGTTTTCGCCGTTAAAACTCTGTGGCTTATCATTAAATTAAGTAATTAAATGTGTTAAGAATTTGAGCGAGGAGGCTGCCATTTTTACAATTTGCTCAACACTAAACCGAACTTGGCCGCTTTACTGCGACCTTTAAAAAAAGCCCCACCCCTTGTACTGGTTTTTACTGATATTAGTTTTGGCAAACAGCCCTAAAGAAAGGTCAGGACAATAACCATTCGCTAAGAAGTCATCTTCATTCTTTTCTCAGGCCGCTATTCAAGGAGTAGCCAAGGAAATTCCGTCAGAAAAGATCTTTCTGGTAACCAGTGAAGACGGATTGGAGTGGAAAGAGAGAAGATATGCGACTGAAACAGCGGTATTCTGTCATTGTTTTCGTTTATGTCTCACCGCTCAACACCGAAAACATTACGATAGTGGCTTTTATGATCAGCCTTGATGCACACTTCTTTTTGGTGCCCGTAAACCACCGGAAATCTAACCGCCGTAAATAATATGTAGCGTGCATACACGTATATATGTAGACATATTGTAGTACGTACAAGTGGTTGACTTAACACAAGCATGTAGCATTCTAAGTTTATATTACTTCTTTATGTTCCCACGAGATTTCATCAACTTCGTTATTATTATTTAACCCATAATCATTGCTATTATCGCTTGATTTTTCTAATCCGATGTTTGCTTGGCTGTGTTTTAAGGCTTAAATTTGAAAATGATTTTAAGACGAACCATCATTCACGCAAAGAAGAGCTTTCTTTCGTTTTGTTTGAAAAGGTTGATCGCATCGACAGCTACACGGTTATGGTCATGAAAAGTTTAAAGTTTGGAGCCTCCGCTCGTTTTGTCAGGATTGTTCTTCCGCCATTTGATAAGCGGATGAAGATAGGAAAAGAAATGCCCGGTTACAAAGTCGAATTATTCCGATGTTCAAACAATGGAAGTGCCTGGCGTGGAAACACTGGTATAGAACGATGACTTCCTTTTGGTAGCTGTTATCCACGATAGCTGTGTTCGCTTTGGTATCACAGGGTTTTAGAATGATTGTAATCCAATAGAGATCCTCTCTTTCAAACTTAAACTATCGCTGGCGTCTATTTATCCTAATCCTCGCCATGTTGTAGAGGATACTGAATGGTAGTGACGGCTGGTCGGTTTCATTTCAGGCCGATAGTGCCGCAAGGGTCCCCACCATAAGCAAAGAAAGATTTATCCTGTTTACCAAAAAATTTTCGTTGTCTATTTACTGGCTAACCACGTTATCTGAGAGTATCGTCGATAACGCAAAGCGAAATAAAAGCCATAAGGAAAAGAAAATATTGCGGTGTACAGAGTAAGATCTCGGCTTCCATTGCACCCATTTCCTCCCTCAGACTACTACCGGTACCTCTGCATGTGATAAGGTGACAGAATAAACATTTTCATCTTTATTTTTTCTTTCCAGTCCCTTTACCCATTGGAATAGGGATAGAATCAGGTGCCATTCCTGACAACCAGTTTACGTCAACCTCTCCACTGAGCCCTGAATACGGAGCGCATTTCTCGAGGCTGAACTCAAAGTCGGGTGGAGGGGCGTGGTGTGCTGCGTCATGTGATCCTTCTGCTTACCTGCAGATTGACTTGGGCCGAGTCTCTTTCATTCGAGAGGTAAGACGATGCAATAGAAACTTTTGATACATACATACATACCTACTTACATATATACATACATACATCTGATACATACATGGTTTATTTAGTAATGCTGGTCAATAGTGGCAGCTTCTACAGCTGATGTGGACCTACACAAATCTATATCTTAGAGCTAAGTTTATCTTAACAGCACGCTTATGTCATAAGGCGTTATCTTCGGTTAGCCGAGGTTGTGCGCACCGTAAAAATCATTTTGATATGATAGAACTTGTTCCCGTTGAATGGATTGAATGCTGTAAATATCTGAAGAGGTGAGAAGAAGAGAGAAAGGGGGAAATGGACTTGAATTGAGAGCGAATGCAAAGCCAGAATCATCATGGAAAGTTCAATGACTCAAACATTTGCTCCTCCATGTCCTTCCTTGTGACTGACCAGCGAGTATCACTGATGATTTATCGACAGTTGGATGTGCAAAGCAAACATGACCATTCAGGAAGTACAAACGCAGTGCTATCATTCTATTTGGAATACAGTGTTGATGGTGCAGCATGGGAATATTACAAAGCAAATGGAGCAAACAAGGTAGCCATACAAAATTTTCTTTCCAGGAATTGAGAGAAGGGGGATTTGTGCCTTTCCTCGACCCCTTCTATCCCCTCAATCGAGAAAAGAAAACATTTTCCCTTTTGACCCCCCCACGGGTGACTAGCACCTAACTCCTCCTTTGAATACCACCCCTGAATATAACATGGACAGAGGTCATGAGGCTAAAGTAGCTCGAGAGGCTCTTGCATTGATTGTCAAGAAACGTTTTTCGCCGTATCAGTAGAGTGTAAAAGGTTAATAGGAAAAATCCAAACTTTTGTTGTCGCTGACTAAAAAAACTTTGAGTGAGGACGTTTTGGTTAAAATACTATAGGTTTTTTTAAAAGGGAGCTAACGGTCGTTACGAGTTTGTGGGCAACATCGATATTGAATTGATTTAAAGTTCTTGCATTTTTTTCTGAAATTCCTTGAAGATATGGCAGGGTGACAAAACCTCTGTTGGTTTGAGACTGATTAGTAGACCCAGTGGTGCTTTGGCAGCTTCTAATAAATTGTTCGGTGTAACCATTGATCTTCAGGGCGTCGACCACGTGTTGTATTTCAGATAATCTGTCTGCGTCGGTAGAAGGGATGCTCTTTGCTCCGTCGAGAATATCAATATTCAATATCAATATTCATATCAATAATGAATATCAATATTCAATATCAATGTTGCCCACAAACCCGTAACGACTGTTGGCTCCATTTTAAAAAAAAACCTAAAGACAAATATATTTAGTAAAGACTTATCGACAGGAGTGATCTATAAAATCAGTTGTAAAGATTGTGAGAAAATTTATATCGGTCAAACATCAAGAGCCTTAAGATCCAGGATAAGAGAACACAAGACAGCGATTTTCACGGGAGATAGAAATTCTTTGTTAACCCAACATTGCATAAAATACAATCATAATTTTGACCTTGAGGATGTCAAGATCATTTACCGCTGTTCCCAATGGTTGAAAAGATTATTTTTAGAAGCGTGGCATTCAATTTGTGAACCGAATGCCATTAATGAACATATTTACATTCCTGACATTTACAAGGCCCTTGGAAATCCCAAGAGACTTTTCTGCGGCTCTTTTTAAAGCACTCATTTGCTTTCGCAGTCATTTTATTGCAAAAGAAGGTTAAAGTATTTTAACCGAAACGTCCTCACACAAAGTTTTTTAGTCAGTGACAACAAAATTTCTATTTATTATCATACCTGACTACAACTATAGTATTTTTAAGGTTAATAGGAACATTAATGTAAGGGATTGGAACTTTCTTTGAAGTTGAAAAAAAAAAAAAAAACAGCCTCCCCTTCCTTTTAAAAAATTTTCCTTTTCGTCTACTTAGTGGCTCTTATCATGTTCCATAGCTCTTCTTGGGAAGCACCCTGAGAAATCTAGCAATTCGACACAAGCTCTTGATTCCAGTCAACGCGCGATTCGTTCGGTTTCGACCCAAGACCTGTATCAACAAGGCGTGTATTAGAGTGGAATTGTACTCCTACCAAGACACCGGTAAATTTGAATGTTAAATTTAGCGATTGTTCATGATACCATAGTAGAATTTTCATGATACCAGAATAACTTTTGTGTTTCTCATAACAAGCGCTATCGTTTGCTTACAATATCAGGCATAAAATACACATATTTTCATTCACTGTCGCCCTTCGAATATTTTTGTTTATTTTCCTTCAATTTATACACCTCTTATGGCCAGAAATGAGCCTCTTCAATATCTCTGGTAAAACACTGTATTCTAGAAGCAAATTCCATGCGTAGAATTTCATAATATTTTCATAACCTTTCGCCGAATTCTCGTCAACTTTTCACGGAACAGTGATTGATAGGAATGAATAACTACGGTAAAATTTTCCGGCGAGGCTGCACTCACCCTGTAAAACACCCAATCACCTCCATCCTAGTTCCGCGAGGCCAGTCTTATGCCCAGATCCTACCGTTTAACTGTAACTGAAATGTTGGCCGTGAAAGGTCCGAGTAAGAAAATAGTTCGAAGGTTAATAAACCCTGAGACCTCCCACAAACCGTAACAGGCATGTGTTAGCCCGCTTATGAAATCCCAGTCCTTTAATTTTTTCCACGTATACTGATCAAAAGATGCAATATTCGGGCGACAGTCCCAGTAGTGAATACGTCGGGAACAATAACGTCTGTTTACCTTGGCACATTTTAGTAGGGCCAGATGTTCCTGTCATCTTTGGGCGAAGCCTTCTCCTGAAAGAGACTGGTAACATGTTAATCGCTTGTAAATCAGAAGTAGGCAGGTATGTGTTATTTGATAAGGTCTAAAGCCGCTGTTGAAAAAGAATAAAATTTCCTATCTCTTGTCTGTTATTAGGCGATGATGTTTATTAACTAGCTGCTTTTTATCAAATTTTTTACAATTGCTTTCATCGCATTGCAATTGCAACGCATACATGATTAGGTCCATTTAGAGCACAGAAAAACATATCAGTCCAAAAGAAAATGAGGGGCCCCTCATTTTCTCCTGATCAGTCTTAATAAAAATCTCACCACGATAAACAAGTACAACCTTTTTTTACGAAATATCAGTCTTAGTTCCACCTGATTATTCTAGTAAACGTTACTAGTATCTTACGAATTTTCTTTCATCAATTTAACTTTTATGACTTGTAGATTTGAACGACACTGTAAATCAACTTCTGATGGCGGAGGGACATGGACAGGTATGTGAGTTCTAGCTGAACCCTAGTCGTGAGTAATTAGTCTTGTAAGAGAAATTTTGTTCCGTGAAGTTAATAGATCAGAACTAAGAAAATAGCAAACTACCATTTATTGATGACTATTCTCAACCTGTTTCTCATTCTCAGAGCTTCCAAAGAACATTTTAAATGTCGTTGCTTATGACCCAGTCAGTGATATTTACTATGGAGTCTCCACTAACAAAAAGACATTCTTGAGAAACAAGTTTTCCCTGTTTATGGAATGGGTTGCAATTTCAAAAAACATTTGGAGGAAAGTAAAAGACTCTCCTACACTTGTCACAGCCACTGAAGTTCCCTTCATGCCCGTGCTGAAAGAGGCGGTGAATGATCCTTATGACGCTTTAACGCTGCCAGCTTCCATTGCATTTAAGCGGAAAAGAAGATCCACAGCAAGTCATGATATGTGGGGATGTAACTATCAGCCTATATTTCTCTAGTTCTTTTAATTTACTGTCTCATATTTTCAGTGGACACGGGCATCGATGAGATTATTCAAAAGGTTTGGGGTGGGGGTCATAGTATGATCAGGGTACCTCCCCGACTCTCATGTTGAAACAATCAAATTGACTTTTTATCGCATGATGACTGAATGATGCATATCGTGTACGATGTCCGTTGTTGACTTAATGATAAAATCATCTTTCAATGGGAGGGGGGGGGATGACAGATACCCCTGGACATTCCAACTACACCCCTGAGGGGTAACGGGCATTAGCAATTATGAAACATTTGGCCAAATCTGTTCGATAAATGGCGGGACTGATTGCTCTTCCCCTATAGTCATGTAATTTCGCATTTCAGGCCTCGACACCACGTTTTGAAAACATCATATTTCACCCAAAAAACGACTGAGGCCGAGAAGGCTATCTAGCGTGCACCGAGGAGAATAAAAACCATGCCCGCCAATATGAAAGAGTTCTCTAATGTTACTTCATTAAACTCATTTTAGCGTCATCAAGAGGCCTCCTCTTCAAGGCGAGTGGTGCGACCGTATGGAAGACAGTCCTCAGCTGGATTGATTATCCTTATGGTATGACACGTTTTCCAGTAATTATCTCCTCTCCAGGGAAGTTACTTCTTTAATAAGAAACAAGGGAGGCACAAATATGGTCTGTTGAGGGTGTAGTCACAAAGTGAAGTTTAAGGGGTAGGGGTTCAACCACAAAATCGAAGAATTGTTATTAAGTGTGGAAGAAAATCCGGGATTCCATAAGTTAAATTTTACTTTACTCCTTGATTGGTCCAGTAAATTCGCGCAGCCTTCTCGATCACTCAGATACAAAACTAAAACCAATCACGAATCATTCGCCCACGTTTCCCGCGCTTCAGACAGTTTGTTAGTTTTTCCTGACATTAAATTTCCAGTGGCTCCTCAAGGTTTCTTTCTTCCGATTGGCTGTTGTAATAACTAGAGTTTGATACCACTACACTCGATCAAAGAGCGCTCAAATGCACCAAGAAATCTCTGATGACGACGGAAGATTTCTTCCATCAAGAACCCGTTGGTGTATTTCTCATAGAGTGAACTGCATTGAACACAGTAAATCAAGCCTAAGTGGTATCTGAATGTTGAGAATAAAATTGTGGCTCTCTTCCTCCAACAGATATGAGGGTGGGCTGTCTTGGATTACCATGTGAAAGTGGCACATGCGAAGAAACACCAAATGAAGGCTATAAATGTAATTGCTTTCCAGGATTTAAAGGAATCCATTGAGACGAAGGTACGTAAGAATTTAGATATAGAGCTACTCTATAAGGTTTCCCGTACTTTTGTGTGGGATATACCGGATTGTACAAGAAAGGGATCAACGAGTCAAATATCAAAAATAAAGTGCTACTCCTAAGACCAACTGAGGCTGAAAGCGAGATCGAAATCAAATTGCAATGCAAAGCATCCATGCTCCTCAAAATTAAAAAATCCAATACCATGGAGCATTTATTACCTCTCAATCGAGGAGAATATATCAATGTTGTAACTTATATCTGTTATCCATGAAATCTAAGATTTCTGAACTTCAATCAGCCAGGACCTTTCGCCTTCACGTTGAGGATAGGATGAAGTACGCTCAATATAAAGACAGGTAACAAAGAATGCTGCCATGATTCTTTTCCTCAGATATTAACGAATGTGCCAGCAATCCTTGCACCAATGGAGGTCAGTGTAAAGATGAGGTGAACGGGTTCAGCTGTGTCTGTTCCCCCGGATTTACAGGAAACCAGTGCGAAATTGGTGAGTAACAGAATTATTTTAAATGAGAGCCGCCAAACCGTATTATATTGCGAACGCCCACTAAATGGCTGTCTACATAAGACATTTTTGACCAGTTTTTTATTTTCTGCAAACATTTCTTGCAGACTTTGATGAGTGCGCAAGTAATCCGTGTCTTGGGGGAGTGTGCGCTGACCATGTTAACCAGTACACGTGCATCTGCAATCCCGGAAAAACCGGCAAACACTGCGAATTCGGTAAATTCTAGTTAGTTAAACTCGAAATCTCACAGAATCTTCAAGAATGGAGAAAATTAACTCGGATTCCAAAGGATAAAAATGGAAAAGCTTCGACCGAATAGCCGAAATGAATTGAAACCTTTGTTCAGCCTTCACAAAAGAAGTGGAGGTTGCAGTCAGTGAGTAAAAGAAATAACCCGAATTTTTCGAGTTCGTAGTTTCAGTCCACATAAATCTTCTCCATTCTTGGCGATCCATGTTCATATTTGGTTTTCTCGTGTCTCCGGCCTAATGTTTGATTATCCACGCAAAAATGAAAAAGCAAATAAAGAGAGGGGAACAATTAGTGAGTTGGTGTCTTAGTCCATTTTTCGTTCAGTTTCAATGACCTCCTACCCCAAGTGCTAATCTCATACCCAGGTCTTACTGTGTGACTGCAACTGGCCGTAGAAAGTCTGGACACGAGCCTACCCCACCCCTTCTCCATCAGTCCCTCAACAATGCATCAGCAACTCGTAAAACAACTAATAGATCTACATTTCGTTTGAAAACGATTATTTTTTTTCAAGCCTGAGAAACAAGGCCCGTTCTAATATTTTTGCCTTTTTCTCGCTAATATAAAGATACAACGTGTATGGTCAGCAACCCGTGTTTAAATGGAGGAACGTGCAGCGCAACGCACGGTGGAGGCTACACTTGCCAATGTAATGTTTTATTTGCTGGAATCAATTGTCAACTGGGTAAGTCGACTGTCTTTCGTTACGGTACAAAGAAACAAACAGTAGGTTCTCTAAGTCCAGTGGTATGGGGGACCAGCCGTTTTTCATTGCCTGAGGGGGAAGGGGAGGGTCGGATAAAGTTTTGGGAGATTACATGCATGGTTTACGAGGGGGATTAGTCGTCAAAAGAATATTACAGATCCCTATGGAAGGGGATCAGGTAAATTGTATCTTGACACAACCAAAATCCGCCAACACACTCCCCCCCCTGCTCTTCCAGATGATAAAAATAACGAGCGGTCCCTAAAATTCTGGGGTAATTTTCTGTTTTTTCCTTGGATACCTGAGTTATCACCTGAGATTACCTGTAATGTAAATTTGAATGAAGTTAATGTTTTCAAGTACTTATTCCTTCACCAGACTTAATTTTGTGTGAGAACGCCTTCTAAATATTTCATTTAAAATTATGAAATTTTGAACCGCTGCCACGCACTTTATTTCGCTTTACCAGTGTACTAACCCCCGTGGGATGCCGGGAGGAAGCCAAAGTGGAGTGGTTTAGCCCGGCAAATCGATGGAAAGTGAAATCTATTAGTCTTATGAAATTTCTAGGGATTTATCGGCACTATAAATGATAGATAGATAATTGACCAATAATTGCTTGCGAACCTATCTTGGCAATTTCACGTTTTCTCTTAATCAGAATCATTTAACTGTTGGAGGTCAACTGTAAGTAACAATTACCCAACCTGGCCAGTCACAGGCAAGTTCGACAAAATCGCCTTCTCGCTAAGCGCTGACCATTACGTGTTAGGAATTAGAGTCGGATCAACCTCACCAGAACGAGTTGATGTCACGGTAACTGTCAAGATAACTCACTCTGATGGGTGTGTAATTGTCACCAAAACCATCTCACACAGATTCCCGGATTGGACAAGTGACCCAGTTTTTTTCGACCAGGCAGTTCTCCTGACTGCTGGCCAGCAGTACATCGCAGCTTCGCATGTGGCGGCACCGAATTACAATTACTTTTCACTACGGAAATACAAAGAAGGGGCATCCTCGGTGCAGTGTGGTGGAATTACTGTTACTTTCTCCAAAGTTTCACCCGCAGAGTTCGCTGATTCAAATGGTTCCAACGTTTTAGAGGGACGGGTTCCAGCTCTCATCTTGAGGTCTCCATGACAGATTCTTTCCCTTCTTCTTAAAAGCATCACAGAAAGTCCTCATTAGCAACAGGGTCTCAATCAAGTAACAATTCTGATGGTTGAGGGTTCAAAATAAGCCGTTTTTGCGGAAGGCGGTTATATTTTAGACCATTTCGGGTTACGTTTGACGGTTAATTTTTCAGACAGACACTTAATTCATTCTCAAGAGGAAAATTCAGGTCTGAACAGAAAAGCATCAGGAGTGGGTATCCAAAGACCTGGAGTTAGATTCCTAGTGTAGGACTTAGATTTTTTCTTTGTTCCATGCTTGCGAGAGGCAAGTAGCTTCTTTCTCCAGTAGTACATAAATTTTTTTGTTCAGAAACTCGGCTAATGTCACATAAAGACCACATTCATTTTACCTGTGAAATGTTAACACGTATAGAAGTAACTGGTCCTAACTGAACGTAACTGAAGGGGTTCAAGAGTCGTATCGAGGCTGCCCAACCGAAGCGGAGGAGAGAGGAGGGGTTGAATAAAACGTGTTTATTTCCTACCTTTGGGGTCACCTTTGTTGTAAAATAATTTAACATCAGCAGTTTTAAAATGCAATTTTGAGCAGTTTTAGCCCCTTTAAAATGCAAGTTTTGTTTTATATTTACGCAACTGTTACAAGTTTTAGTTACAATACTAGATATCACATTTTTTAAGATAAACATCAACAAGATGTATCATGTTATTCAGATTTTCTGCTGCATATTTAATATGTAATAGTGTCTGCAGTATAGCAGATGTAGTGAATTTCTCCCGTTCAATTTAATTCTTTTTAATATACTTTTGTAAATATATTCTTCCTAAATCAGTAAAGGTTGGACGTGTGTCTGATAAATAATAGATTCTGTTGTTTATCACCCTACACAAGTTGTCGAAACGCTGTCATTCAAGATAAGTGATACAGTGTGCCAACGATGCTTTGAATAGCAGATGTAACTCGACACTTAAAATCACGCGATTTAGACTCTGTCAGTGAAGTCACGCGAACCTTCACTGCTTGTCACTTGCTTGCACCAGAAGAGAGCGTATCATGAATTGCTTCCTCCTGATTGCTGCTCTTCTCTGCAGCTCAGCTGCAGCTGTTCAGCCTTCCTGCAAGGAGCTGTATGCCTCGTATTATTTGTCGCAGAATTTTAATGAGACGATCGCGCACACAATTCACTGCATGAGCGTGCAAGGCCTTCGTCTTTTCAACCCGAGGGCAAATGAGGATAATCGAGTTCCTACAGTGAACCACAACATCCAGGACGAAGTAAGTGCTGTGGGTTTTCTTTACCTCTCCACAACATCAAAACAACCAGTATACTATGTATAACTTCGCTTCATAGAGAAGAATCATCACAGCTGGAGGTTGGCACTAAGGCCTCTTAGCTGAGACTTTCTCAAACTCAACCGTGGCAGTCCTTGGTACAACTTAAGCCTTAAAAACCGCTTAAATCGCAGATTTACTTTCCCTTTCTAAATAGTGGAGTAAATTTTAAAAAAATAGCAGGTTTAGAATTGTCTGGAAATTTTTTAACGATTGTTGGCACTTTCTAAGTGTGCCTACTGTTCGTGCCTAGTGCGTTTTGGAACCATGGAATCGAATTACAGATCACGCAATCGAATTACAGATCACGAGATCGAATTACAGATCACGCAATCGAATTACAGATCACGCAATAAACAACTTAACAAAACTAGATGAATCTTCAACTCTCTAAGATGTTGAAATGAGCGTCAAGCATCTAACAATATTTTCCCCCTAAAGAATCTAAACTGGAGTGAGCTGTGCCATTCATTTGGCGAGGCAGATACTAAAGCATAATTATTTTTTTTGCTTAGAAAAAGGCTGATTACAATAAAAAATACAATAGAAACAAAATCTTCGCTTTAGAAAAGAACACATTTTGTAACTGTGACGTGTGATATAACTGGAATCAGATTTTAAGTTTTCAGTGATAATTGAGGTCGCAACAACAAAGCAATATTCTGCCAAATGATCCAGTAGTCAAACCCTTACTTGACGCCAGGTCTATCTCTAGAATTCTAAATTAACGTGAAAGAGCACATTCCGATCTTCTTCAGTTCCCGTCTCCGTGCCAGTATCGATTTTCCTGATATAACTTTACGGATTGGCCATAACAGACTAAGTGCCATGTACAATCATGCGCAAAGATTGTGGTTATGACGCCTTTTTAGTAGAGTATAAGTACGGTGCCACACAAGTGTGTTAAGTTCTCATCGAATAAGAGCGGGTGGGTATGGCAGAGAGAGGAAATAAATATCGGTGCAGACCCTAAACAATTCACTTTGTTCCTCAGAAAAAGTTAGTGTTACCATTTGCTCCAGAGGACCCCCGTGGGGAAGATTTCACCACTGAGACAATGAACATCATGGACGCCATTTTGAGCCGGATTGGCAAGGATGATGACGGCCTGGGTCCTAATTGGTCCTCAACTGAGCGAATCGTACATAAGTTTCACATGATTGATGTGTGGCATAGAGTGAGGGAAGTTTACAAAGAAGTTTTAGACAACCCGCCACAGGTAACTTAAGTATAACGACATCTGTATTTGGGACTAATCGTTATTTATCGCGGG